TAACAGTATAACATATAGTTGCCAATACCTAGAATGAAGATACTGAATGTTTCAACACCAGGTAATGATAAATGTTTGAGATGATGGATATGCTAATAACCCTGATCCAATCACTACATAATGTATGTGTCAAAACATCACTATGTATCCCATGAATAGGTGAAATTATTATTTGGCAATTAAAAATATAAAAAACATTAAATAGTTTAAAAGCCAGTTAATGAATATGTAGGGAGTAGTGTAATTGGAAAACAAACATTTTGCTTCTCTTTTTGTTGGTTTGTTTGAGACAGAGTCTCACTTTCTTGCCCCCAGTATGCTGTGGCATCGTAGCTCACAGCAACCTCAAATTCTTGGGCTCAAGCGATCCTCCTGCCTCAGCCTCCCGAGGAACTCGGACTACAGGCACCTGCCACAACACCTGGTCTTTAGATACGGGGTCTCGCTGTAGCTCAGGCTGACCTCAAACTTGTGAGCTCAAGCAATCTACCTGCCTCAGCCTCCCAGAGTGCTAGGATTACAGGCGTGAGTCACTAGGCCCGGCTGACCATTTTAGTTTCAAAACAGTGAAGGCTAGGATGAGCAGGAAACCTTGAAAATATGAATAGATGCTAAAGCTAGTGCATAAACACTTCTGAGGTGCAAAGTATTGGCATGGCTTCAGTGTCTCTTCACCAATTACTCATTAACTGGAAAAAATAAAAATAATTACACCGTGGAAAAATGCATTATGTTGCACTACATCTGGACTGGGAAATCAAAAATAAAATCACTATTCCTGAGAAGGACATTATCATTTATACAGTATTCTAGCCAGGTACACATAATCTGAATATAACCATGAGAAAACACATTCTATGAAATTGTACAAATAAATATATTATACTAATAAACTACAATTTTATATCAAATTTTATAACATTAAAATTGTATCACATATGAATTTATTCTGATTTATATTACATCATGATTCTCAATTATATTACAACTCATTATTATTGATTATAATAGATATCATTTACATGGGTATATTTACATACATAAGTATATATTACATATTATATGCACGCTATATTTAAATTTTTAATGACTTATATATTCTGTATTTACATGAAGTATTATTACCTATAATATACTTACATTTTTCATTATACATTATTTTTATATAATATACTATGCCTATAAATCATGTTATATATGATAAATTGTATAACACATAAAATATATATTTATATGATAATTATATGTCCTATAACATTACATATTGCCAACATGATATATTAATGCCATTTTATATTATATACATTCTAACATAAATTCTAAATCCTCTAAAAATCTAGGTGTTATAGAAAGACAATCCTGGTAACTATTTCAAACCAAGGAGACTAAACAACAGTAAAGACAAATAGAAAACTAAATTAATAAGGGGCACGGATTAAGCCACCTAATGTCAAATGCTTTAGAAAACAAGTAATATTTTTACATATTGAATGTGCAAAATGTTAAAAATTAGTAAATCTGGAGACTACAGAGACATTCTTTACATGTTTTAAAGTTTGAAATTATTTCAAAAAACTGTGTTACTTCAGAAGAGGACTAAAATCCAAGAGGGGCAGGAGACAGGTGGCACTTTACAAATATGATTTCGTTACATAAGATGTATGTACACTTTTCTTAATTTTTTAAAATTCAAGCAATAAAATTGCCAAAGAAAGAATGGCCTACACTAAAAAGAAATGCTTCCAAAAAAGCTCATATCAGAGCTGGCTGAGGAGAAGTCACTGACGAGAGAAGGAGCAGGGCTGACATTTCAGGCACAGAAACAGAACCACCCAAGTCGCAGAGGACCTGAGGTCCACAGTATGATGGAGAATCAAGGACTCACAGGAGGAAATAATTTCCTGGAACACATAACGATAAACATCCTCAGATAACAAGCGCACTCTGCAGTCATGAATGAAAGGCAGCGGGTGAGTCTGGAGTTGGACCATCCTGGGTCTGAATGTGGATTTCTCCAGTCACGTGATACTAGATTGTACTATCTTTAACTTCTCAGAGTTGGTTTGATCTTTAAGATGACTGCACACCCCCCGCCTCATGTGACTGTTATGATTGGTGAGGTGACATATACAGTGTATGGTGCTGGGGCCCTTCTTTCTCCCTTTTCCTTTCAGAAAAAGGGGCTGGAACTCTTAACACTGCAATAGGTTTTCCTGTATGCTGTCTCAGTTGAAGTTTGTTCATAATGGAATATGTCTATTGGTTAAAAATCTACATAAAAAGTAATTCAATCATATGTATGCATTGGGATTGACAGCAAGTCCCACGTTGAGAAAAAATCTAGCCCAACCTAAACCTGGGCATGGCCAACGAGTAGCACTGGGTACAGAGCTGAAAGACATTATATAATGTAGCTGCTTGGACCACACACTGTTCACTGATGCATTAATCTATAAGGAGCGTGGGTGCCAAATCAGTTAGACTACTTCTCACGGTGAGAGGAAGGCAGTGACAGTGTGGTGTCTCCACAGTGTCAAGGCCTGGCTCTGACTCATAGTCTATAAAGCAACACTTGTGGACGTGTCACCTGCAAAGCTCAGATCTGCTCAGTCTACACCACGGCCTCCTTGAGTATTCAGCTCAGCATCACCCGCAAGGCCTCCTGAAGGTTAAAGGGAGAGCCCAGCTCGCCAGCAACAAAGTCTTGGGATCAGGCCAAGTGTCTGAGCCCAGAGCGGCAATCATCACGGCACAACTGATGTGGTCAACAGCAAGACTTGCAAGCTGTTACTGGGTGTAGCAAGTTGGAATGAGACGAATCACAAGCCGGGCGAGCTTAACTAATGTGCTAAAGGCATCCTGCAGCCTTGCTTCTCACATGGCAGCCAGTTTGGAAGCAGCAGCAGCAGAGTGTGCCAGCTGGATTTGCCCAGATATAAAGAATGTAGTGTCCTTCGGAGAAAAAGCTCAGAGACGGTGTTGAAATGCTAGTGCTAATGCTGACAGGCTCTCTTGCCAGTCCAAACTGCTAAGCATGCCCTGAACACCTACTCTATACTCCTATTAATCTGGGGTCTTCAGGGCAACAGGTTAGATACCTAAAAACAGGTGCCTGTCATCAACTACCATATGTCGAGACCAGCCATTCATTGTGATTCAATTAGTCAAAATCACCATGTTCAGTAATTGTGTGTTTGATTTCAGTTAAACATTTTCCAAGTGCCTCTTCTTTGCCAGGTACCATGCCAGCTGGAGGGATAGGATCAGCCTCAAGGAGGTTACCACCTGCTGGGGAACCAAAAGAGGGTTCTCAACAAATACACGTACAGGGAATCTGCATGCATCATAAGAGGAGAAACCATTACCAAGAGAAAGTTGAAAAAATTAACTTCAACTGGAGGATCCCAGAAGGCTGGGGGAAGGGCTGGCCTCGTAAGCTG